CCCGCCCCCCCACACACCCATACAAATATGATGACTTTAGTCATGAAACTTATTTTTAACCAATTTTGTAATAGGACTTTTAAAAAAAGTGCGATATTGTATTGCTCCTAATATTAATCATAATAATTGCATGGATGTTTTGTTTTGTTTTTTTTTCTCCGTGAAATAAATGATTACAATAAGAATCTTTAACAACTCAAAGTTGCCCGGGAGAAGTGACAACCTCTTGCCAGTATTAAAAGCTGTTTAGGTGACAAGTGCAAGTGGGGAACTTGCCTTCATTCGGAACACGTTGGCTGCGCTTCCAGCAAAGTGGGCACATTCCAGCTTTGCATGGCTTCTGTAAAAGAAAAACAATCGACATATTTAGGCTCATTTTTTTATATATTCCAAGTTGTAAAATAAAAGAGTAGCAAATGTGTATGCAGTCCCCTTTCGTTCATTCAAGTGCAGCTATGATAAAAAGACGAGAAGTTTGGACAGAATTCATCCAAGATTATGATCTTCAGGCGATGGTGCTCCATAACTTCACATGACTTCGAGCGCAGCGTGCCGCACTCTGGTTTGTGTTAAGAGTAATTACCGCCATTAAAAAAAAAAAAAAAAAAAGAAGCCCAGCGCGTCAAGGCTCCGCGGAGAAGTCCAGCGCATAAGCTCACCACTTTTCCATGTCTTAAAGTCTTCACTTGAGTGTGCATGATCTTCTCACTGCATGACATGATGACTAATGGCATGGGATGCTGCGCATACACACACACACACGCACACACTCAGACACAGACAGAAAAAAAAGAAGAAAGTGAAAATGTCTTCCACTTTGTCTGAAACTGAAAATTCAATTAAAGTTCAATTCCTGCCACAAGGCACGATGACGCTCTGGATTAAATAAAGCAGCCTGGATTTATTTCGTCTGGGCGGAAACGTTGCCAGATATTGCAGTATGTTCATCGCACTTAATTTCGATGATAAAAAGCTCGTCCCCGCAAGACGATTTGACTCTCTGGCGGCCGCTTCCCCCCTGACGACTGGATGCGGCATTGGCAGCGTGTTCAAATTGGAACCGAAGGAAACCTTGGTCAGATTTTTTTTTTTTTTTTTTTCAAGTCAACAATTTCAAAGAATAACTTGAAATCCCGGCAATGGGCTTGATCCCTCAAATGCCTGATTACACCGTGTCTCCTAAGCCAGATGATTGTTTATAAAAGCCAAAAGTGGCGATCGTGCCAATAGCAAAGTCGCAGCACATGCGCTTCTGCACAGCACATAACAAGAACCATATTCAAAACGCAATCTGGCCTGATGCTGATTTCATATGCTGTAACATAAGAGGTGCAAGTCACAAACAATGCCGTCTTGTCGGCAGCAGAGCCCCCCCCCCCCTCCCCCCCCCATGGTGTCAGAAATGTCAAACCAAAATCTCTCACTATGTTCCCAGCAAGGAACAGTCACATTTCTCAACCCAGTACTCGGTGATTCGTTGTCAGCAGGGGCGGAGCTACATGGTGGCCACTCGACAGCAACCCCACTGGCCACCCCCACATCTAAGGGAAGAATTCTGTGATGCGGATAATTTGTTCCACCTTACTGCCGTTTCCACACAGTTGAATTAAACTGAGGAAACGTGGATACGCTGCCAGCATCGAGGTTATTATAGTTCGGGAAAATGTATGAAATAAAAACTAAATAAACATTTTTGTGAACATAACAAAAGTGCTTTTGTTTTATTCAATCATGCCGTCGACATATACAGTATTCCCCAAAAAAGCTAAAATGAATGAAAACGAAACTAAAACCATGTATTAACCCCCGCCCCCCAAAAAAAAAAAAACTAAAAAAACATGGGACGCATGTGACCGCATTTTTTAAATTTTGCTGTGCTAGAAAAAAGTGGAGCGGTAATTGCACATCCACTGCAGTAGGTGGCAGTGGCGCTCATTGTCGGAGAGTACGGAAGGAGTATTAGCGCACTTACCACAATTTTATTGACAAATGACACCATTTGTTGTGATGGTGGTGAATTTGTGGGGGCAACATTTTTTCTTCTTCTGAGTAACAAAAAAATAATTGAGAAGCGCTGTGCCAAAGCAAAGAAATGGGAAGCTCATCAAAGTGTTGATTTTTACCATTCCTGTTTGTATGAATGTACCGGGCAAGGGCGCATTTGATCACGATGCCCTTTCACGTCCACGCCATGTAAACACGTTTGTCCACATACAAATGCCAGACTGGCTACGACCATGATGGAAAAAGATGAAACCGCAGCATTGTTTTATTTTTATCCACACCGCTTGTTTTCCTTCTTCTTCCACAGCAAAGCGACATGAACTCCTTCCTGTGGACAGTGAAGCGCACGCCCCCCCTCCCCCCTTCCTACCTGTACGGTACCATCCACGTGCCTTACACGCGAGTGTGGGACTTCATCCCGGACATCTCCAAGCGGGCTTTCCGCAACAGCCACAACGTTTTCTTTGAGCTGGACCTAACCGACCCGCTCACCGTCTCCAAGCTGACCAGCTGCCAGTTACTCCCCCACGGGGAGAACCTCCAAACGCTGCTACCTCGAGACTTGTACCGCCGCCTCAAACGCCACCTGGACTACGTCAAGCACATGATGCCGTACTGGATGACGGCGGACCAACGCGGCCGCGGGCTCTATGCCGATTACCTGTTCAACGCCATCGCGGGGAACTGGGAGAGGAAGAGGCCCGTGTGGGTGATGCTGATGGTTAACTCGCTGACCGAGTGGGATGTGAGGTCCAGGGGCACGCCGGTGCTGGACTTGTTTTTGGCGCAGGAGGCCGAGAGGATGGGAAAAACGACAGGGGCGGTGGAGCGGGTGGAGGAGCAGTGTCACCCTCTCAATGGCCTCAACTTTTCTCAGGTAAGGAGAAGAGCGTTGACTTTTTTTCTTTTATTTTTGTTTCCCCGTCATGGATGATTTTTTTTTCTTTTTTCTTGCAAATAGCTTGGCAAATATGAAACATAGACAGTCTGCACATCTGGCAGCAATGTAACATGGCAAATTCCATTGAACATCATCCGAGACATATACTGTATCTCTCTCAGATCGGGTTGTCGGTTGTCGGCCTCGAGAAATGTCATTTTATAAATCTTCGGCCATTTTGAGAGCTTTCCCATCCACAATAAAAAAACACTGTAATTTTGGAACTCTGTTCATCCTGATGAACATTTAACATATAAACCCCATGACCCTGAAAAAAATCACATCCGAGAAATCTTTGAGAATTTAGTACACAAAGCCAGTTCTACAAAAATATCTGAAATTTGGTATGCTGGATTATCATAAGTAGATCCACAAAAAAAAAAACCCAAAAAAAAAAGTCTCAAGAACATATGCTTCAACGGTCATTTTGGCACTTTCCAGAAGTCCTTCAAAGACAATTTTTTCCAATCTGAACATTAACTCCACAAGCTGGGCAAAATTAATCGTGAAAAATTTGAATGAATGTCATTGCGTGTCGTCGGCGCATGGCACCAAACCTTTTGTCCTCATCGCTAAAAGGAGGTCAACTTTGCAATACCATGCTGGGCCTTTAGGGGGCGTGACAAGCTACACACAAGCCAAGCAACACGAGCACCACCGTCTCAAGCAGAAATTCAGCGCCTGGATGCCTTTCCCAAAGAAACTTGGGAGAAGAAAACATTCAAAGGAGAAAACGTGATTAAAACATTTGTGTAGGTGACAGTTTTACGGTGATGGATCTCCCCTGTGTGTGTGTCCACAAAGCTAAATGCGCACAGGGTGACCACTGTCAGCATGAGACAGATCGGACGAGGTGAGAAGAGCGCAATGCTCTCGTTTCCATTAAAGCAGTCACACTCTCTGGCTTTTGCCTCGCGGGGACTTGTGATGAACAACTCCAAAGACGACTGGAACAAACTCAAAACGCCATGAACATAACACGAGTTTTTAATTAATTGTTTTGGGATGAACAAATTTAAGAAAGGTGCATCGAATTAAATAGGGAGCAACGCTAATCCTAAACTATTCCTCTCGTGGGAGGTCCCCATAAAAATCAGCAATGAGCCTTGACAAGATGAGGAAGACGCTGCGCTGAAATTTATGCTCTCCTTTGCTCTTTGATGTCGACGGAGAAGAAATATCTCAGTCGTGCAAGACTGCCAGCCCGACATGTGTTGTGCATGCGCGCCATGTCCACACACACACACACACACACACACACACACACACACACACACACACACACACACACACACACACACACAAAAGCAAATCTCCATTTCATGCACAACTGAATATGTCGGAGGCCTTAGCCTCCACGTGATAGGTCAAAGGGGGCCCGGGAGCTAATTCTGGAAACAAACGCGCTCCAAGCATTTTCGCTTTCATTAGAAGCTCCTAACGACGCTGTCACAGTGGCGCTATATATGCACCCCCGACGTGCCTGGAAGCTCTGCGGCTCCCTAAATAAGCCGAGTCGTCCCTCGTCGGCGTGGAAAAAGAAGCTGTCGGAGGGGCTTTGCATTTCGTATGGTTTGAAGATGCACTCCCTAAATTTAGAATTGTACTAACCCATCCATCCGTATAGAGCGGAACTTCAATGTTTATGACTAATTGAAGGAAGGGCTTGTTCGTTATAGCCAATTCATCAAAGTAGGTTTTTTTTCTTCCCCTTTAAACACCCAATACAGTACAAAATAATTTGTTTTTCATTTAAAAAAAGCTTGAAACCGTTTGAAAGTTGATTGACCGTTACCTTGATTGGGAGGCGCGAATAATGGCGTGCATCTGGCCGCGTTCACGCACAGTTGTTTGTCTGGGGACCAGTCCAGGGTGTACAACCCCACCTGTCGCCAACAGCCAGTGGTGTAGAAAATGGATGGAAGGAAAATACCCTGAAGGAAGAGTTTCAAAACGAATGGGAAGACTTTTGAGTTGGTGGGAATTTACCTGTCTAACCTGAGAGAGCCTTCCAAGTTCCACTCCATGAAAATGACCCCAATTTGGAAGCAAAGCATTGTCCAAAATCTCTGGAAGGATCAAGATTTCAGAGGAGCCAAACCCCAACACATTGAGGGGCACATCTCAATACATTTGTCTGTACACTGAGTCATATGTCACCGCTTGACAGGCTTTGCTAATTTCATCTCCAAAACAGCATTATTTTAATGACATTCGAGGCAAGGTTGGAGTCACACCCGAACAGGGTAGACATGTACATGTAGGGATCGAATCGATGGTAACGTAACTATTCTGTATCCCGTTTGGTACCTTTTTGCGCCTGGAAAGTGGGACTCTCGATCTCTGCCAAACGTTTCAGTGCCAGGGAACATTTTGTTGATGTTTCCCTTAGCCTCCAATCTTGCTTCCAAATATGTATGAACCAGCCCAGCTGACATGGAAACTATTATTGTCAATTATAACAATTTGTGATTTAATCTGAACGCTACGGTTGATTGGCTCCATGTACGCTTGACTGTAGGAGCGGCGAGGTCAGGGGGATACGTAGACGATGGATGTGAAGGCGGTGGGTGGGAACCCGAGAGAAGTCAAGTGAGATGGAGACCGACTGGGCTTGTGTGGTCAACTGCCTCGGCTAATCTGAAACATGAGCCACGTTAAAAAGGGAAATCCGTGTTGGGAAGGCTTCCAAACCCTGCCGGCCAACATGCTATTTGTTCCCAATAAAGGCAGCTTACAATATCCCGTAGCTGACTTTTGCGAGAGGCTCTTTACCAACAAGAGAGGTGGTCATTCATCATTGGGAAGCACCCGGCCTCGGTTCTGACGCTGCAGAGACCGCTGAAGGACCGGTGCAGAGCTCAGAGGAAGTCGTTTCTCCTCTGCAGCCTTGTTGGTAGTGGCGCTAGCGCTAATAGCAGCGAGTCATCGGTGCATCAAAGCGGTCAGTGCGCTCTAATGACAGCTGCGGTTTTGCACGGGACGTCTCCACGGGCCCCGGAGATCACAGTGAGGTGTGGCTGTCTCATCACGCAGGAGCGACTTCATAGAATGTGGAAACAATGGCCCGGTCACGGCGCATGCTTCTTGTCGAGTTGCCTTGACGCAGATGTAGCTTGACAGTCGGGTTCTGCGGTCAGCTGTGAAGCCGGATGCTTAATATGCGCGGCACTCGGGTCTTGGCTTGTTAAAGGGTGCAAACTGCACAACCGCAAAATTTCATCTTTGAAGTACCTCACGCGGTCGGCTCCATTACATACGCGACAGAGCGGAATGCGCGCAAAGGAGATCCACCAGCGTCGAACCACGTGGAAGCCATACGAGTCAAAACGGAAATCAGTGCACCCTTGCGCATTCGTCCTACATCTTAATGACCTGGATTGATTGGGAAGAGCTGTTTGAATCAACTCAAAAGGTGGAAAACAGCAGCTCTCGGAAGTAGGTTAGTGGACAGTCTGCAGAGGCGTGCTGGAGCCTATCCCAGCTCTTTTGGGGCAGGGTAGTAGGCGGGGCACACCCTGAACTGGTTGCCAGCCAATCGCAGGGCACACATAGACGAACAACCATCCACACTCACACTCACACCTCGGGACAATTTAGAGTGTTCAATCAGCCTGCCATGCATGTTTTTGGAATGTGGGAGGAAACCGGAATACCCGGAGAAAACCCACGCAGGCCCCGGCCGTGCAAACTCCACACAAGAACCCCGAAGCCGGAATCAAACCCTGCACCTCTGCACGGTGAGGTCGATGCGCTAACCACTGGCCCACCGGGCCGCTGGATAGTTCTAGAGAGATGGAAAAAGAATCACCACCAAGATCATCCTGGTGAATTTTAGGCTTTTCTGGTGGCAACATCTCAAAGCAGACATTCCAAAGGCCACTGCACGGATTGTTGGGTTGCATGGATGCAGACAGACCAAGGAGGACACAAGTTCTCCAGAGAAGGCACACAAAGGCCTACTTGGACTTTGCAAATGCTCATTCGGACCCCCATGACACCAACTTTGAATTGTTTGGCCACAATGATGTATCCCGGCTGTCGAACCTCAGGCTTTGAGCGTGTTTTTCCGGTCACAGGAAAGGGCATCAAGAAAAAAAAAAAATGGATAGACCAAGATTCTCCACGACGACATTGGGCGGTCTGCAGAGAAACGTATCCTTGGTCATTCGTAGACTCTTTAGGAGGACATAAAACCCCCCTAAAATAACAAAAGTGGTATATAAAAGCCCAATGATGTCTGTGCCATTTCCGATCCAGAAAAAAGAAAGAGACGAAGAGAGAGAGACATTTTTCCATCAAGAATTCCAGTGCACTCTAGCATGGCAACAAACTGTCCATCGGCCTCAGATTGGTCTACTGCTGTTCATTCGAATAGCGACCGCTGTTCCAAGTGGCGGCCGTGTTGGCGGGGGCATCTTCCCGCCAAAGGCTATGAATTCACATGAATTTAAGTTGTAACTTGCTCATTTTTCTGCTGATTTTCCTCGAGTACCCCAGTCGTAATTGCACCGCATTGGACGCAACCTTATGCAGCACAAGGTACCAGCATTCTCAGAATTTTTTTTCTCCTATTTTTAAAAGGCACACAGATATTCAAGAAAACAGCTCAGGTTATCTCCAGGGTGGCGCCAGCCTGCGGGCCTCCTAGCAAATAAACACCCTTATTTATTATTTTCCTTGGTTCACGTTGCAAGCTGAGCCAACCGAGCCGTGTCGAAGAAAAAGAAAAAAAAGCATCATATCTGTGGCGCCTGACTCCTGGGTAGGGGTTCAGGGGTCACGTGGGAGGCAGTATGGGAGTCGGAGGGGCAGCGGAGCGCTAAGGAGACTGGCAGTCTGCCGGGGTCAGTCTGGGCAACGGAGCACGGCGGCCAACCTTTGAGCAAGTTTTAACACCAGTTGGGACTTGAAAGGTGTGGCTAATTCTTTTTTTT